TCTACATACGCGTTCCATACGTATTTATCTCATATCGCGTTGAATGCACGGGACAAAGGTGAATATGATGCAGTTCGTCAGTACTGTATCAGTGCAACAATAATTATTGAAATAAGAGGTTTTTAATATTTGTTTTATACTTTTCAAATACTTTTTGTTATAATAATAATAATCATCAGAGCAAAATTGCATCAGACAGCATATAAATTAACAAGAGGAAAGAGAGACCAATGAACAAGTGAAAACGAAGTAACGTGATAAAAACAAATTCGAATAAACAATATTTATTGTAAAAATAACATTAATAATTAGCAGAGTTCAATAAATTTGATATTGTCCATTTCGGCTTTGCAGAGCCTTCTTCAGCAATTTTTCTTAACAAAAGCGATAAAAAACGAGGGAATTGTAAGTGCAATAAAAACTTGTTCGATGAAATTATAGAATGCACATTTAGATTCAAGCGCAAATAGATAAAAGATTAATAAAAATGTGAAAAATATAATAATTATAAGAGTGAAATTAAGAGTTAATAGTCAGATGCATAAGTTTTTATGCATTTAAAATTTCCCTTCGTTTTTTATCAATTTTGTTTGTCAGCAAGAAAAATTGCTGAAGAAGGCCCCGTGAAGCCAAAACGTACAATATCAAATTTATATTGGAAGGTGACACTGTTAATTATTGTTTTTACAATAAATATTGTTTACTCGAATTTGTTTTTGTCACGTCATTTCATTTTCGCTCGTTCATTGGCCTCTCTTTTCTTTTATTAATAATCATAAGCATAATCATAATCTTAATAATGATAGTGAATTTATTAAGCAATATTCAAATATTTTTGATGATATCAAAGAATATATGTAGTATCGTGGACAATTAAAAACAAGTTACAAATAAAGAAATGATTATTTTTATAAAATATCGTTCATTTAATTTTGGTCGTACGGCAGTTATTGCAGTGCTTACGGTAACTATTGCAATGTTATAAATATATTTTATTGATCAACATTTATATTTCATAATATCTTATTATCGCAACTCTACGCAAGAAATAGATTTGTGAAGATATAGTTTTATTTGCATATATTGTTTACATAAGCATCGGGTGAATTTTTGATAAAAAAATTTCTAAACCTTTGTTTCACTCCTTCAATTCTTTTTGAATTTGTCTTATTACTTCTTCAAAATTCAACTGCTTTTTTTATATATTTTACCGCGATATTATCGTTA